TTAGAATTGTTAAATATAAATATATTTTTTTATATTATTATTTGGTGGGATAAATTTCTATTCATAATGTATCCCATACTATTATCAGCTGATACCGATATGATACACCCCGTATCGGGCATATTGTTACGATATTTAAATCCCTGCTAGAACCTATAAACTTTAACCCGTAGATCTCCTCTTTATCTGTTTCACAAGTCATATATGAGTTAATCATGCACAATGTCCTTAGCTCCTGGATTCTTCTTCAATATGAGCCTAAGACGAAAGCAAGGTGGACTTAAAAGACTACCATTGAAGCTTAGGAAAACCCATCAAAATCAACGTGGAGATGCAAGTCTAAATATCGCCAGGGTTCACATCAGATTTGAATACAAGCATATTTATAAGGAAGGGAATCAATTGGCTGATTGGATGATAAGAAATGAAGGATACTCCACAAGGATTTGAGCATCAGGGTGGAGAGATTGTGATCTTAACCGTTCAACTCTACCTCGTCTTTGCTAATTCTTTGTTCCCCTTGTATAAGAAAAAGGTCCTAAGACTGCTGAGTAGTGTTTTCAATGCATTATTGATTCGATCAGTTGAACCGTTTGAACTGTCACCTTGTTAAAATTTTAGGTCTAATAGTTTTATTAAAACTTATAAATTGGTAAAACAATTGTCCAATTGGGGTGATTGAATTGTTGATCCACCATTCGATCCAATGAGTGAGCCATAGGTTGCATACTAAATGTATATATAAATTTCTAGAGGCCATAGGCCCTTTATTTCACTAATTTTGAGAAAATACCCTTTTTTAACTTCAAATTGCAAATTTTAATAGTTTTTTACAAATAAAAAAATAATAACTGAATTAAAAAACATAAATTAAATATGGGCAAATTTCTTAAAATATCTCTAAGGCTTAGGAAATTGACTAGTTCTACCCTTATTGTTTATATATTGTCTTAAAGTACTCTTAAATTTGTTAACAATTAACTAAATCCTCCCCTGCTGTTAGTTTTAGTGTATGATACTGTTCCATCACAATCCGTCTACATGTGACACACATGAAATGTATAGTTTTTTAAAATCCAATATTACCCTTATGGTCAATTTCACCCTCCATGGCTCGAGTCCCTATACTTGTACGACAACACTTTGTTCATTCACCATTTTGAGACATAAAAGGTTACTGTTGAAGAAGCGAACCTTTTGCAGGTGAAAGGAGAGGCTGTGAAGGAAGAATCCCCCAGAAGAGATGTGATCTGATTTGGTATGTAGCTGAAAGAGGAACCACACGGGAAGAATTTTCTCAGGAATTTGCGTGTCCAGCATTTCCAGCAAGTCCTCCAAAGTTAGGAACATCAGCATTTCCAGCAAAGTTCTGACTGACATAGAAATTTTCGTGTTATTAGTGGGAAAGAAGAGAAGAAGAGTATGAAGAGGAAGTCTTTGTTCTGCGAGTTAATACTGATATAGCGTTTGTTTGGCATCGATGCCGTTGTTCCAGAAAATGGCAACACATCAGCGTCACATAAAAAAAAAAAACAATGTTTTAGGAAATGCCTGTTTGTTTATAACCATTTTTTTTATAAAAAACAGTGCTCCAAGTTATACCTTGAAAATCGGGAAGGCATGGCTTGGAGTAATGTCAAATTTAATCTTTTCCGGAGCTGCAGCTCGTTGCTGCCAACAGGGACATGAGGTGGCGGTGACAGGGACATGATGTGGCACTGGATAATAAGTACCAGTGCTGAAAACGTACCCTGGAGCATTGGTATCAAATAGAAAACGTTGTTGTTGCTTCAAGAAACGTCTTACCTGATAACAACGTTTGCAAACAAAAAAATAAGACATTATTTTCTCAGAAAAAGGTGCTTCCAACCCACACATCAACAGCACCGTTTTCTGTATCTGCAGCATTGATCTCAAACATATACATAATGTAATTTGTAATGGAAATATAGAACGAATTTTTTTTGTATGATGGCGTTTATGGGGTTACTCCATTGCTTGAGTCTTTCGTGAATCTGATGGCTCCGTGATTCTGAATAGTTTAGTGTAGCCTTTAATCAGTTATGTCAAATTGTGAATGGGATTATTAGGTCAGCTTTGGGCCTAGAGGTTTATAACCAGACTAACGCTTGATAGCTTAGTTAAGATGACTAATTCATAATGGGAATCTCTTTCGTTACAACCAAGGTTTTTAAAATCGGATCGGACAGGGAACCATTATGGACCCAATTTTTGGGTTGAATGATCGACTGTATGATCTAAATAGATGGCTTGTTATGACAAAAAAAAAATAAATAAATAATGGCCAAAAACCGTTGTTCGAGTTAATAGTTCGACTACTTGTGTCAGCAATTTGTTGATCAAATCAATGGTTTTTGGCCAAAAAAAAGCAATTTTGGGGTGAAATGGGTGACCATTTCCCTGTTTTCAGGTCCGATCATCTGGTCTAGTCCAATCTTGAAAACTATAATCACAACCACTACTCACCCACTGACCCAATAAGGGAAAAAAAACCCCCAAAACAAAAAGATTATGATCCCTAATACTCTGGGTCACGTAGCCATTTTGCTCGAGTTTGCGTTCTGTGCACCCATGGGTGCACTGGATGCGTGAACCCACCAATAAAAATGTTACACATCAGCATTTCAAATTAATCCTAAAGTTAACAGGATTTCATCCATTAGAGGCTCGAACCCAGTCGAACCGGACATAAAAGGAATAACTTCTTTTAGGGGATTTCATTTGATAATTTCAACTCCCTTTTGTTTCCTCTTCTCCTTCGAGCCCTAATAAGGTGAAATCCATCGGCCAGCACGAAGTCCGACGGTAAGCAAAAAAAAAGGTACTCTCACTCTCACTTACGAACTTCCTCTTCTTCCAATATTCTTCTTTCAACCTCCGTAATAAGTTTCCGCATCACAATTTCTACAAATAAGTTTCAAAGTCAACTTGTGTTGGTTGTGATGATGGATCGACTGGATTTTTACTTGCTTCAGGTTGTGGTTTGTCAGATTTCGGTGGTTTTATAGGCTTAGGGGTATTTTTTCGTGGTGGTCCTACAGGTTCTACAACTAGGGCTAGTTCATCTAGTGATGGAATCGTTGTTTCATCGGGCTTTACAACCTCAGGTGGAGGATCTGCTGACAGGTGGGTCAGTCTCAGCTAGCTTCTCTGTCGCTATTTCAACCTTGATGGCATCTACTACTATTGCCTCTGCAGAGGCAGGTGCTTCAACCTCTAGTAGTGGTTTCGGTCTTGAGGCACTATGGGTAGTTAGAACTTAGAGAAACATCCCATTTTCCTAGTTCCCATTTTTTGTGGTTGATTTTACAACTCTATTTAAATATGTTGTTGTAACACCAAAATTGACCATTTTCCTTGCCTTGTATATTTCCCCTCATGTAGGGCAGAAATCACATCCTTTTGTGTTTTGTCTTTTGATTAGTTATACTAAAGAAGAAGAAGAAGGGAAGAAGATGAATTCTTACCGCCTGAATTCTTTCTGCAGCTGGTGGCTACGAATGCCAGTGGGTGGTGAGTGACCAATGAGATGCTTCTCTGTGTTAGGGCTCGAAGGAGAGAAAGAAACGGGAGGGAGTTTGAATAAAATCCATTTAAGAAATCATTATATATATATATATATATATTTTGTCTTTTTGTGGATGGTTTAACCTGGCTTCTTCATACTTGTTAAGTTATCAAAGTTTCGAAATACACCCGTAGAGTTTTGAAATGGTAATGCACAATATTTTTATTGGTGGGTTCACGCGTGCACTGGACGCGGACTCATTTTGGCCTGGAGGCTCAGTTTGAAAAAAAATACAAATATAAATTTATAGGGTGCAAAACCTTATATTTTATATATGTATTTGCTCTGTAGATATTTGTATTTGTATTCCTTCCAAAAACTCTATATTTTCTGCATTATCTTTTGCCGAGGATCAGCAATCACATTCAGTCGTCATTCTGTCAGATTCTCAAAATATTGTTAACCATTTAAACTCTCGTTTTGTTAAGCTTTCCTTGGAATCTATGTTTTGGGTGGATCTGATTTGCTCCTTGAATTGTTTTCCAGTTCATAACTTGTTTTATTAGTAGATCTAGAAATCAGATTGTTCATGCGTTGGCTCAGGTGCTTTCTGATCTTTTTTTGTGGAGTATTCCCCCTAGTTTTTTTTTAACCTCTTATTGTGTAACTAAATATATCTTTATTTATCAAAAAATTTGCAACATCTAAATTTTTGAAGGATTAAGTGTTTATCTCTAACTTAGGTCAGTTTGGGAAGAGTGCAATGCAAAAGCTTTAAAAATAGGATAAATTTCTTAAAATATCCCTAAGTTTTATGAAATTGATTAGCATTATCTCCACTGTTTAGAAATTGTCTTAAATTATCCATATGTTTTTCTTTTTACAATTGACTAAATTCTCCTTTATTGCTAGTGGCTGTTAGTACACATGTGACACGATGTAATTGTAACATATAGAATTTTTTTAAACCCAATATTATACTTTTGTGGTCAAATTTGTCTTTTTTTGTTATTATTTTAAAATAAAACTCAACATCCACCTTTCAACAAAAACACAACTAAAGGAATTGCTTCATCCTTGAAATCTAATTTTTAGGTGGGAGATGATCGTCCCTATTCACCTCTTCAAACGTGGAGATGATTTCATGTGGGTTTTAGGTTGTATATGGTTTCGGTAGACATCTCTATCAATTGGAATGCCTTTGCATATAGAAAAAATTTGCCATGAGGAGAATACTGACAAAGTGATCTTATCAAATACTTTATTTTAAAAATTTAAAGAAGATTTGGGATAAAATAGTATTTTCCATCTTTCTGTCCCCAAGCTGAGAAGGCTGTGTTTGGTTTGAAAGATAATAAAAGTCTTCATTCGATTCGAAACTCAGCATATAAATCTGCAACCCTTATATCCTTGTCCAACGCTCAAGCTAAATTGTTGATGCACACCGAGGAGGCCCTTAAACCCTTATCTAATGGCTAATTATGACACTCGCCGAGCCACCGACGCCCTTAAACCCTCGTCCAAGAGGAAAAAAGATTCTTCTGGTAAGGATTCCGGCGATAAGCGCCACAAGACACACGACAAATCGCCGGAAAAACCAACCTCTGATGCCAAGAAAAGCCCTTTCACGCGACTTTTCTCGGAGGAAGACGAGATCCATATCCTGACTGACTTCCATGACATCACCAAAGCGGTTAAAACCTCCGAGACTACGGCAGCCTCCGCTGCGAAGCTCTTCGATCGCATTAAGAACTCCCTCAGTAATGAAGTCAGCCAGATTCAACTGCTCGCTAAGCTCCGTAAGTTTCGATAGAAGTACAATAAGCAAGTGGAGAACAAATCGTTCATGAAGACTTCTCACGTCCGGGACCTTTTCGAGCTGTCGCAAGATCTGGGACGAGGAACCGGCAAAGGAGAAGACGCATTCGGACGGTTCTGTCGAGAAGGAGTCACCAAATGTTGTTACTCTTTGGGCAAGGTCTAAAACCCTAAACAGAAAGAAGGAAAAACCGATATCCGGAAATCAAGAGGAGAGTCAAAAGCCCCGAAACCATACCTGGCCGACTGAAAATGGAGAAACAGATGTGGATGATGAGTCGCTTGAAAATGGAGAAACAGATGTGGATGATGAATCGACTGAAAATGGAGAAACAGGGATGGATGATGAGTCGACTGAAAATGGAGAAACCTCCGCGGACGATGGGCCAATTGAAAATGGAGACACGGACGTGAATGATGAGTTCACCAAAAATGGAGAAAACAACTCCGCGGACGATAGGCCGGCTGAAAACGGGGAAGCCACTTCTTCTGTAAATATGCAGACGGTCGTCAGGCCAGCTGAAAACGGAGAAACCGTTTCTTCTGTAAATTTGGAGAAACTCACGTATTTGATGCCCCGGTATTTGGACGAGTCACTTCTGAGGCATTTCAACGAAAAATGGCGGTTGCAACAGATTGCTGAAACTGAGGTTCGTGCTAAGCGGTTTAAGTTGATTCATGTTCACATCAGGCTGATTTTGATGGCCATTCTCTCTTCGCCGCCTGAGGCATAAGCCAATGGAGTTGGGCAGGTTTTTTGGTACAATATATCTGTATATGCTTTAAAAAGATACTCTTCTTTTAGTTCTTTCCGACATGTTCAATTAGTTGTTACAATTTTTTTAGGTTTTCTTTCTTGTGAGTAAACTGGATTCAAGCAAGTGATTTTTTAATGGCAATTATGGGTTTAATTTCTTCATATGATTCTGCACATTTTCCATTATTCTGAGACTCGTATCTGAATAAACTTCAACACATTTTGAGACCTAATTTTTACATTCTATTTATGGTTTTTAGTGCTTCATTTAAATACAACTCTCATTGCTAATATTTGGTCATGGTAATTTCTAAAGCCAATGAAATAGATATTCTTTAAAATAACACCCAAACATGATTGAAACAAGAACATGGAGTTCTTTGGTTCTGAAGTTTAAGCTGGGGAAGGGTTTGATTCTGAGTGTTACGTTATTGGCTTTCTGGATACAGAGAGCTTGTAATTGTAATAGTAGAATATTCAAGTAATATGAACAACAATGACTGTCATACATCTACCAATTACTTATCYGGTTAATATTTTATTTTACACATTATGAGTTATTGTAAGTTTAAGTGGTCAGCCCTCTGTTAGGCTGCCTCTGGGTTCAAATGCATGGATTTATTTCAGGTGTTTAGATAGCTGAGAACCAACCATTGTCATTTAAAGAAAAAAATGTCATTAATCAAAGTACATGAAGTGTCTCAAAAAGTACTCCAAGTTGGAAAATTGCTCAACAAAGTACATGAAGCTTCATATTCTTTGTACTTGAGCTATTATCAATAGTTTTCTACGGTGCACAAGGCATACATGTATGCATGCATATTTCTTTCTTGGTAACAGTGTTTTAAAAAACTACCAGAAGGCTAAACTGTTTTTGCCTTCGGGTTGGGGGTCATCGAACTGTTTTTGCCTCCGAGTTGCAAGTCACCGGTTTGATCAGTCAGGTCGAACAGTTCAAACCATGCCATGTCAGTGTGTATATATATACATATTTTATCAATGAATAATGTGTAATTATATTTTAGATATGATATATGCATTATTTTATATTTAATTTATTTTTGTAATTCAGTTTTTAACTTTTTATTTATAAAAATATTAAAAACTGTGATTTGAGGTTAAAAAAGGAGGGTTTTTTTTTTGTAAAATAGCGGGGCAAGGCCCTACTGTGCCTTGGGGCGCATAGATCTCGAAAAGTTATGGTGTCTCGAAATTTGCATACACGATTAGTGCAACCCGTGACCCTATCACTGGGTTGAGTGGGTCAACGGTCCAACTGTTTGGTTCAGACGGATTTTGACATTTATCCGGATTTTATTTGAACCGGACCTAGAATCTTGACTGGTTTAAATGGGTTGACCAACTGGGTTAACGGTGGATTAAAAACATTGTTTGGTAGCATAGTTGTGGCCTCGAGAAATAAAAGCATTTGCTATGAACTGCAGATTTTCAACTTGATACAGTGAAGGAACAGGTTGCCAGAAATAATGAGCCTCTACAAAGATGAAAGATGTAGGAGTCATTATAAAGTATATCAGTGAAACTAGGATAGTGCAGTTTGTGGCTTGTTTAAGAAAGAGGATTGTTTCGGTAACCAATTTCTGATGATGTTAATCTCTTTCAAATGTGAAAACCATCAAACATTTTGCTTTTTGAATTGCTTGGTGAAAGCAAGGTTTGGCTGAACACCATGGCTGTTCAGCAGGTTGTACGCCAGTGTTTGAATATATGTGGCTCTCACCTTTTATAGTGGGCCCATGAATTTATCATTGGTTCCACAGCCTGATGAACAGCCATCGTTGAAAACCATCAAGCTTAACATGCTCTAGAATTTCTCCACAAGATTGAATAAAAAGCATAAAATCCCCTAGATTTGTAGATGAAAGATTGGAAGGAGCTCGCCACTTAGCCAGCTAGGTCCAGATTGTTACAACATTGAGGAGCTAGCCACAGGCCTTTTGTGGTCTGTGGAGTGTGTAAAATGCCCTACAATATTAAGGACCATCTCGAATCTGGCAACCACCAATTCCATGACCATAGATTAGACTCTTCTGGGGATACAATGAGGTCATATTCCTAGAATCAAGAGAGTTCTCCATCCTTGCATCCTACTGGAATGGGACCCTACACTATAAATACATTCAATTCTACGAAGCAAAAGAGGCTCAATATCAAATCCATTGTTAGTTCTGCACTTCTCAGCTACGTTGGTGGCTAAACTCTGATAAATCTGTTGATTTGAACTTTGGCAAGTAGACATTATTTCATGAGATCTGAAAATATTATTTTTCAGGATTTGGTTTCCATGTTCCGTTACTCTGGGAAGTGAGTGTATTTTGAACACAAAGAAATTGGGCAATGTCTCACTGATTTTTCATTATACACGGTGCAATCATGCCTCCAGATCACCACTTAATTCTCAAATCCGGAAACAATGTAGCTTGTTGGGCAGACATAAAATTTAAGCTAAAACGTAGACCAGTTTTTCTTAAATATGGAAAATGAATTATTTGCTATTTTATGAGTTTTTTATTAATTTGGCCACCGTAAAATGTTTCGGCAATTACTTATAAGCTTTAGCAATTGATTTTCTGAATAGGGGTTTATTTTTACAGGCAAAATTTTCCAAGTCCAATTAAACATAGAAAACATTTTCTTTTCCTTCGTTTTATGTTTACATCCAATAAAACAGCCCAAACGATGAAATTGCATTCAGGAATCAGGAGTCATCTGCTACACTTTGCTTGAAAATTTGCCTTCCAGAGGAAAGTTCGATTTGTATGACAATTAACATTAAAAATCATCAACGTGGGCATTTGGTCTAGTGGTATGATTCTCGCTTAGGGTGCGAGAGGTCCCGAGTTCAATTCTCGGAATGCCCCCAACAGGTCGATGGCGTTCTCTATTTTTTTTTTGTTTATTACTTACACAACCAAAACCTAGAAAATAGGGGCCTTGAGGGAGGGCTACCACTGTTCTCGTTTCCCCATAAAAATTTAAGAAAAAGGCATTCCATTCACAAACCTAGCTTTGGTAAAATTACCCCCCAAAAAAAACTAGTTTTTTCTCTATTTTTTATTTATTATACAACCAAAACCTAGAACATAGGGGGCTTGAGGGAGGGCTACCACTGTTCTCGTTTCCCCATAAACAATTAAGAAAAAAGTATTCCATTCACAAGTTACCAAAAAGAAACCTAGCTTTGATAGTTAGTTTATCCATCCAAAAAAAAAAACTTTGGCAGAAAATATTTGGCTCCAACCTGCTATATAGCTATACAACAAACACATTTTAATGTTTACTTTAACATTTAGGATTGGCATTTAAGATACAGAGTAGCTATGGTATGAGCAAAGCAATGCCTAATTTCAACAAATCAACTTAAATAGATTAGACTCAGGTGCATTTGCTTCGTAGCTGGAATTGGAAACAAAAATTGGTATTAGAATTAAAATCAGTTGGAATGGAATTTCCTAAGACTATGTTTGATTTGAAGGAGAAAATAGGAAAAGAAAAATGTAGGAAAATCTTTATAAATCTTGTATAAATTTTTTTACCTTTTTCTTTCTTTTCCTATTTTTTTCCTGCAAACCAAACATAACCTAAGGATAAAAGAGGGAAAATAAAATTCTAAATCTGTCCAACCAAATAATTAGAGATTTCGTGAGACTGACTCATGATGCACCGGATTCGGGGAGTTGGAACATTTTATGTTGGCAAGTGCTCCAGATTCGTCTAAACCTCCCCTTCATTGTCAATGAATAAGGTGAAATGAAATTTTAGAAATCCCTTGAACCTACCCTGAAAAAGGCCTTCAAGCCTCCCATCAAGTTTGACCTACCCTTGAGAGAATTACAAACCCCATATGTTACTCTGTAAACTAGCGGAGTTACCCGTGCTGAGCACGGCTTGAATATTTGTATATTTTTATTTTTTTGTCGAAAGAAATGAAAAACTTTTATCAGCGAACGCAAGTAAGGTCAAACTGTGGCGACAACCAAAGAGAAAAGGGAGAGAGAGAGAGAGAGAGGGCGGGAAGAACAATCTGCTTACCATGGAGAGAGTGGCTCTATGCATGGTTTTGATGGCGCAATATTTTAAATCAGGGAAGAACTTGGGTCGTCGTGTTTTGCTCATGATGATGTGTTTGGCGGCACCAATCCGGCTTCCAAGTTCAATTGTTGGGAGTTGGAGATGATAGATCGACGGGTGGACTTACCGATCCTTAGATTGAGACGAATCTCTAAGAGAACGCTCTTTAGACCCTCTTCACATTCGTTGAATATTGAGTTTGGCAGGGTCATATAGGAACCGATGACAACGACCTCGTCGGTCTTGAGTTCCTCCCAAGCGTTCTAGAGGTGGAAGCAAAAGCAATCAGGCGCTTCGATCCATCTGATCCCTGAAGCGTCGACGGCGTTATTGTCCAAGATTCCAAACCAAGAAATCTTGTTCTTGTCGTAGACGACCGGAGAGCCATCTCGAATCATCTCCTGGAGCTTGAACACCACCTGCTGATCGAGTATCACCACAAACCTGTCGGTGATTGCGAAGTCGTGCATCATGATGGGCTCAGTAACAGGAATCTCAATGTCAGATGACTTCTGGCCATCTAGGGAGAAGCTGTAGTACTTAAGGTATGGCTTCTGAACGACATCGTTTGCCCGAGACTGGGTCGAGCTTGGGGTGAGCAATCATGGCAGACTGGAGCTGACCCTGGAGGTCATAACGGCCGACTGTCTCAAGGTCACCGGAGGGAGTGATACGAACTTGGTAAGGGAGATCGTCTTCGAACATGGCAAGAAGACGACGATTAAACTTGGGTGTGATCGACAATCCCAAAAAGTACTCTAGCATAGAAGAGGAGCCGAGCAATACCAGAGTGGCTGTGAAGCTCACCAATGGCCTTCGAAAAGATGGGGCGACCAAGGGCTTGTTACTGAATGAAACGTTGTGTCTCAGTGAAGCGGCAAATGTAGCTAGCTGAGCCGTCGTGGGTGCTAACAGCGTAAACCATGCCATCACCATCGAAGAAATGGTGACCGACGACGGGCTCGAACAGGGGATTGGCGTCGTTACGAACGTAGACGCCTTGAATGCAATCAGAGAACAAGACAAGTGGACCACGACTCCTTTTGGACAGATCCAAGGTTTCAGTTTCTTCATAGGGAGGACCCATCCTGCTATTTTTTCACGAAAAAAACAATTTTACGTGCGGATAGCTTTTGTTATATTCATACTAAACAAACGAATTTTTGGGTGAAAAAAGATTAAAGGTTTTTTATTTTTATTAAGGGTTTTTACTGTTCAGTCCACCCTTAAATCTTAGTGGAATGAATCTTAACCGTGGATAAAAAAATAGGAGGGGCTGTGATTTCAGATTTCTGAAGTGGAGTGTATTCTATTTATCCCTTTTTATTAAAGATTGAAAGATATTTCAGTGATCAAACAACAATACTAACAATTGTTAGATTTCTAAGAAGAAGCTTATAAGTACTTTATACCCAAAGGTTAGGAGAGGTTTAAGACCCAAGGTTCAAAATATCATATGCCCGATACATATTTTTATTGTTTTTTTTTTATTTTTTTTTACAACTGATTCGGGGGGCCGGTTTAGGTTTCCTCTACCCCTTAAACCGACTAGACCTCCGATACACTCACTGTAGGGGCATATTGGAGGGGTCTGGGAACAATACGTATCGATACTTTGAATCTTGTTAAGACTTTTTCCTTCTTAGAAAAAATCAGGGAGGTTTAAGGGATTTACCCGAAAATATAAATTAATTTTTTTCCTATGATATGGAAAAATTAACTTTCCATATCATATCGGATGAGATGGCCCAATCAACTTTCAACTTTCTGTTTACGTGGATATGGGTTATCGCAAGTAACCAGTTTCAAAAACAACAATTAAAATCACATTTGAAAAAAGAAATTCATTTTAAGAAAAAACGTTAACTTACGAAAAAGCACTGACCGTCATTCTCCCTGATATCTTCAGCTCACCACCCCTGTTGAATCATCGTTGACAACAATGGTTTCTCTTCGGTGTCACCTCGTCACCCTTGTGCTTCTTCAAGTGATCCTCATCCTCTTGCTCTCTCACCCAGTCAAATCCGATGGTAAGCAATTAAGCATTGTCTCTCTTCCTTTCTTTTCTTAATTTTGCTCTTGCAGATCTTTTACTTTGATGGGTTTGTCTTGTTTGGTTTTATTTTTCTACCAATTTATATATGTTCATCATTCTTTCATTCTTGCGTGATTTGGGTCTTCATTTCAAGTTCCAAGCATATTGGATCTCTTTATCTTCAGTGGTTGCATTGCAAGTCTGAATTTGCTGATTAATGGGATTTTTCTGATAGAATAACATTCGCTTGATTGGGAGGAAGATCCTGATGCCTGGTTCTCCTAAAACGTCATTAGGTGACGATCTGAATGCATTGTGTCTGAAAAGGGAACTAGATAGGGGAGAAAAATGCATGTTGCAAATATCCATTTGACTAGGTATCATATTCTGTAGTGTTACTCATTCTCTCTCTCTCTCCCTGGTAGTTCAATGATTCAAAGAATTGGTTTTGAGATTTTTTTCGTTTTTCTTGCTGGGCTCTTATCTATTAGACAAGTGCTATAGGAACATGCAGGAGGAATACATCCATATTATTTGCAAGGATCTAAGGCTTACCATCACCTTATTAGTTGTCTCAACTACGGTAGTTTTGTCATGAAATAGAACTTCTCCTCTATAACAAATTGTTTAATGTGTCCTAAATCTGATTCCCTCGATCTATATCTTGAATTACTGACAGAAAATAATAATGTAATGGAGTATTCAGTTAACGGATAAGTTAAAGACTCTTTTAAATTTTAATTAACGTATAAAAAACTAATTACCGGTTACTTAAATAAACCCAATAACTACTGTATACGTGGCAGAGGTACAGGTTTTAGACATAATATGGTTTTCCATATCATAGTCGGACCCTTGTAAACAAACTCCACTTTTTTTAATGGAAAAGCAGACAACCCGTCGATCACCGACAAGACAAGCAGGGGAAAGCATAGACAGTCTGTTACGAGGAAAAAGTTTGAGAGAATGACGGTTCAGCCTCGGATCAAAATTTTTGGGCGCAAAGTACATTTAGGAAAGGTGCTAGTTCGCAATTTGATGCCAATTCACCAGCCGCATTGGTATGTAGAGTGGGGTATTTGACATTTTGAATGTTAATAGGTCTGCAGTGGAATTCATAAATCTGCAATAGGCCTATCCGTATTTTTCCGAAAAAAATTTCAAATTTCAAACTTTTCTGAATTACTAAAGAGGGCGAAAAACAGCAAACCCTAATCTTCTGATCCAGATACAAAAAAAAGGAAACCTAACCCGACAGTCTCACATACCAATCAATCCACTATTGATGAAAACCCAGATCAATGAAAGAAAAGCGAATACAGCAACCCTAGAATGTCAATTACGAAGACACAGATTACACATCAAAGAGTTATCTTCATCAACCCAAGTTTGGGAAGAAAAAAAAAAGCAAGCAAATAAATCCACCATGGACTGAGGAGTTTTAAACTACCAACAACCACTAAATCATTTCCATATCTCCCATTTCCCTAGTTGAGAAACCCTAATCTTTCAATTCTTTTCAAGAAGAAAAGTGTCGTTTATTTCTTCCCTCGTCTCTTAGGGGCTAATTTTTCACTTGGCGAGCATTTGCTGTTGGGCCTGATTCTCCTGCTGCTGTTGGTAGTTGAGTGGCCTCCTGAAAAGCATGATGTGTGGCTCGGGGCGATGGATGGCGTAGTGCACCCACCCTCGGCTTTGCTGAACCCCAATCGCTCTCCATTCGTTCTGAAAACATATAAAATCATCATTAATTCCTTACATTTTTGGCTCTTCAAAGCATTTCTTCTTGACATCAAACAGAACCAGAAAAAGCCCTAATGAAATTTGAATCGACGTTCGTTCACTTCCACTTACTTCAGAGAGAAGACGATTCTTTGGGAGCAGTTTGGCCACTTCAGGAGGAAGAACGACGTGCCTGCAAAGATTCAGAAGACAAGATTCTCAAGAGGGCTTCTTCCAATGTGTAGCCATAACTCAAGCAGAATGAGAGAAAAGAAGGGATTTCCAATTTCGATACCTGTATTCATAAGTATCATCGAAGTATTTCTCAGAATACTGGATCTGACCCATTTCTATTTCCTTGGCTTGATTGTCTTACGGAAAAGAAAACCAGAAGAAAGAGAAAAAAATTGTTCGATTTTGGACTATACAATCTACAAAAAAAAAGAATAAAAAGAACAGCAAACGAAATGCGTTTATCCCTGAAGATTGAATCGAGTAGATTATAGCTTGATCAATCGAATGATCGATTCTTCGGAGATAAAGAAAGGAACAAACAGGATAAGAACAAGAACGAAAACAGTGGTTACCTGATGAAGGGGCGACCGAGAAAGAGAAGCACTCAGTCGCGCTGTCGTTGTCGTCGAGTTATTGCGTATTCGGTGGAGGCTTGAGAGAGTGTGATTTATTTATTTTCCCTTTTTTATTTTTTCCAATCCAACAAATGATGAAAATGCTAATCCACGTGTCAATCTTTGGATCAATCTCATCAAAATCATTGAAACCTTTTCCGATCCGTTTTGATTTTCAAAATTTAAATTTCCCTCATTTTGATTTTTGACTACGACCAAGATTGCCGGATGATGATCTTGTTCAAATCAACGGTTACTGTTTATGCTTAATTTCTCTCTCATGTGGTTTGCAAAACAATATCAAGGTAGAACAACTTGACCCGTCTGGACTTCAGGTTTTATCATAATTAATTATTTATAGGGTAAATTACATAAACCCGCCCTATAATTAATTATTTACCCCTCGAACTTTTCTTCTAGAAAAAAAACCCTAAATTTTTGGATTTCAGTGCATTGGCCCTAGTTAACATTTCATCAGTTAATTTGGTGAAATATTAAGCTTAAACATTTTCACAACACTAATATCCTTATTTTAGAACATTTTGTCTTTTTAAATTGAGCTGTGTTTGTTTGCGGTATAAATACTGGATGAATTTTACACTTTAGTCCAATTTTGTAGTCGTTTTATGAAACTTAAGGCTGCATTTGAAAAAGATGCAAATAAGTGTGAATGTAAATATGTAGAGTGTAAAATAGTTCATATAAATTGTAAAATTGGGTTAATTTTTCTAACAAATTTATCTTTTTACCGAACAGACTTTTAGTGTAATGGATGCAAACATGATTTCCAATAAAGCATATGCTTTTTTTTTTATCAAAAGCCAACTTGAATGCAAATTTATTTCTTTTTTATTGATGTACTTTATTATCAATGTAAATATGCATAAATTTAATGTTGCCAAACATAGGCAAAAGTAAACCAAAGTGCAAATTTACCCTGAACCGGAATTTACACTCCATTTGCATCGTTTCCAAGCGCAACCTAAATTACCATAGAAAATTGATGTAAAACTCCTTGTAGGTCAAGCTTTACATCGTAATCTAGGGAAAGTTCACTCTCATAAGAATGATGAAAATATTTACATCGATAAGCACCACTTTTTTAAACCAATGAGCAAGGTTTTCGAACTGCCATTGATCTAGACGGTTTGACCATTCAGCTTAGGAACCGTCTAGGCAACCAATTCTATTTTTACCCCAAACCTGGTTTTGGCCAAAAATTGTTGAAAAAGTTAACAACCCATTGACCTAAACAGGCAAACCATCGACCGACCCATTCAATGGTTTTGACCACTTTTTATTTTTAATTATTTTAATTATTTTTAATTTATTTGTCAAAATGGGTCATCGATTTGAACCAGATAGTCAGACCGTCGACCCAGAAACCGGTGGTCAGAATGGTTCCATTTCCATGTCATTTTTTAAAACATTGTCAATGAGTGAAAACTCCTCCAATCTAGCATTTACACTGCATTTAAATGCAGCCTTTTCTAAAATCCTAATACTGTGCTTGGGAAGAGTGTAAATACAAGTATACCCGGCACAAATACAAATGAAGCCTATATGTATTTTATTTGTATTTGCATTTGCATTCTTTCCAAACAGAAATAATATAACTATGTACAGTACAAATACATATAAAATAATACAAAATACAACATTTGCACCCACATATTTGTATCAGTACTCTTTCCAAGCTGAGCCTACCTCACATATTTCTCTCAACTATCTTCAATCAAAGTTGATATTAACAGTGCTTTGAAAATGATTTGTTCATCAACGTCATGATAACTATTTGTAATTTAGAATGCTTATTATTTTTTTGACTCGTGAAGAGAGTACAAATACAAATATATACTCAATTCCTTTTAAACTGAGTCTTTACTTATCGCGAAGCCAAAAGCTTGGAAGGAATGTTCGTTATTGCAAAACAAAGTTTGGGAGGCTAAGTATTACTACACCCTAAGAAAGGATGGCTATTTGTAATTTACCTAAAACTATATACAATTAACCCGCGCTTTGGGGAAAAAAGGGTCAATTACAGGGTTGGACCCATCACCCATTCGCACCCATGGGCCTACAATGGATGGGCCTCTGGTGGTGCACATGGGTTGTCTTATTTGCATCGAGCTAGCCTCCCTTCTGACAAGCCATGCCTAAAGGAAGATTGGTCTGGGCTTGCTATAAATTTATGCAAAAAATATTTTTATAAATTTTTATTGATTGTTGAAATAATTTTTGAATTTTTTTTGCAGTATTCCTTGGATGCAATGTTTAATTTTTGTTTGATTCTGCTAAAAATTTTTATCATTTTATTAGTTTGTCTGCAATTTTTTTTTCTAATATATATATATATTATATATATATATATATAAATGAGCATATTTTTTTCTGAAAATTTTGCCTTTTTAGTTGATATATATATATATATATATATATATATATATATATATATATAAACTTTTAAATTTTTATCACTTTATGTATTTTGTAATTGATTTTTTTTTAAATTGTCATTTTCTTGTTTTCTACAATTTATTACTTTTTCTATATAGTTTTTATTATTTTATGTATATTTGCAATTTATGTTTTTATCCAATCTTTATATTTTTTGAGTTTTTTTGTCTTTTTTAGTTTCCAATGTTTTTTTTTTATAATTTCTGTTTTTTACATGTTTCTATTTTCTACAATCTATAAATTTTCCTGTATTTTTTGTTATTTATTTGCAATTTCTGTGTTTTTCTATAATTTTTGGTGCTTTTTCTATAAATTTTATTTTTTATTTTTTTTTCATTTTCTATAATTTCTGTAATTTAAAAATACTTTTTTATTTTGTTTGCAATTTATAGAATTTTATATTTTTGTAATTTTTGTCTTTTATGTATTTTATATTTGAAAATATTTTTTGATTTTTTTCCTTTTTTTCGTGTTTTTAGTTAAAATATTAAAATAAATATGTATATATTTTATATTTTTCTATGAAGGATAAAATGGTTATATATTAACACCTGTTAGTCTTTTTATTGTCAAGATAGTGACATGGTGAATTTTAGACATTGTGAGAAGTTATGGTGAGTTTAAGAGAAATGCTGAAAAGTCATGGTGAGTTTTAGACAATTTCCCTTAACTTTATCTATATGTATCCATTTCAATTTAACTATTACATATAATATATATATATATAATTTGCATTAGATTGTAATTATTAGTAAAGATTAATTATATTGAAATTGAGATATTCAATGATATATTATTGTGCTAAATAATCTACTTCAATTTAAAATTATAATCCATCTATATTCCATTTGAAAATAAAAAAAAATAATTAATCATAATAAAAATAATTTAGTATATTATTGAAATAAAAAATAATAATTATTTTTTTTACTGATAACAATATTTTTATTAATATAATACATTAATTTAATTAATAAAAGGAATAAAATAAATTAAAAATGAATATCGACTTAAAATTAATATAAAACTAATACAAAATTATATAACAATTATTAGTTTTATAATTAAATTTTATTAATTGAAAACCAACTCAAGTTCCACTAAAAGATAAAAATTTATATAGTAATTAAATTTCATATGGAATTTAAATTTAATGAGAAATTAATATACTTAAATAAATTCAATTTTTACTAAATTAAAAAATTAATATTTCAAAATCAATTTAAATTCCATTTAAAAATAAGGAAAATTATAAAATCCTACTTGAGTTTTCTAAGAATTCTATGAAACTCCCAATGTTTTTGACCCTAACAAAAACCTCTCCTATTGGTTTGAAAAAAGGTGCAAATACCTTCCTTTGGTAAGCATTCCAAATAAAAACTATGGATGTAATGCATTAATTTTATTTCACTTTAGCCCTTCTACATTTGTCTAAGAAGAGTAATGAGAATTATTCTTTGAAAGTTGTCTAGCAAAAGAAATTAGTAAAGGGTAAAGTTGAAACTTTAAATTATGTATGATAATGTATTGACAATGATATGGGTATTTTGGTAACTTCAATGCATTTGTTACTGAGGAGCCAAGGGAAATGAGGTATTTGCACTTTTTTCCCCTCAAAACTATAGGGGAGGCCTTTGTTAGAGTCAAAACACAAAGTTGGTTTATATAATTGTTATAAGAGGATTTTTTTTTATAATTTTACCTATAAATAATACAAAATATTAATAAAACCAATAAAATTTAATGAAAAAAATATTAAAAAAATAAAATTTAACATTAAAATACAAAAAAAAACAAATTTATCTAGAGAATAGGAAATTGGTCACTCACACTAAAGCACAACTTAGATTGTGATTGGATAAATTAGACGTAACCCCAAAAAATAATACTTGAATTGAACTTAGATGGACACCATTTAATTGGAAATATTGTAGAGCTCCATGTTCAATTTTGCTGATAAGCATGTACATTGCATGGGTCCTGACTAGTATGTAGAGTATAAATGCATACAAAATAATATACAACACAAGATTCTGCACTCCACCTATTTGTATTTGTACCCCTTTCAAAGTGAGCCTAGGCTATCTTTATGTTTGTTTACGGTGGTTTCTCTCTTGTTGGATTGATGGAATAAAGTAATCATGCATTTGTTTGTGGTGTAAAAATACCACATGGAGTTCAACACTAATCATTTTAAAATTTGTGAACCATTGTAGTTTGAAAACTGTGATTATCAATGTAAATATTACATTGATTTTATCAATATTATATTTACATCCATTATCAATATAAAACTATGCGGTGAATAGAATTTTAAATTGATTTACGATGTAAAATTACATTCTATCGAAGCTAACAAATACGAATGGAGAATGGAGTTTTACACCAATACTTATTTACATTGCAAATAAACGCCCGTAAATACGTACGAACAAATGCAGCTTTAACATCGAGATTCAAATAATATAAGTTTTGTATCCATTGTGGATATAGTAATGCCCTCTCGAGTCTTGTCACAATATAAAAATGTCAAAAAAAAAAAAAACATTTTTCTTCTCTTAATCGTTGCACTTTTGTATATCAAACAAATGCTTACAAATCTGAATCAGTTTGGTGTTTATCCAAATTTCTTGATTGCACGTACGTCTGTACAGTCGGGTTAGGTTAGGTCGGGTTGAGGCCAACCCTAATCCAATCCTAAGTTTTAAACCCCAACCCTAACCCTAACCCAATCTGACCAACCCAATCCTAATCTAACTAAATTCCTTCAAACCTAACCCAACCTTCTTTCCATCCCTTAAAATCTCATAGAATTTTTCGATTTTAGATCTAACTCAATTTTCACTATATATATTAATCCTATGTTTCATTAGAATTTGTTTTTTGTTCATTTGGTACAAAATTCAGAAAAAAACAAGGGTTAGAAATGACTATAGTTTATTATGAGTTATGGCTTACGATAAATCTTTCTTGGGCGACAAACAACATAGTGGAGATGAAGAATAAAATTTTCAAAAAAAACATAAAATAATGTTATTAAGGTTTTAGTATTTCTGATTAGGATTAAGTAAAGTGATTATCTTAAAAGAAATACATGATACTATGTGGTGGGAGCTATAAAAATATCATGCATATAAACAAATCAATGTATGTTATATATTCCATGCATCTAAACAAATCAATGTATAATCAATGTATGTTATATATTACATGCAACATATTTTTATATAGAAAATGTATTATAGAGTCGGGTTTGGATTGGGTTGAGTTGGTTAAAGGATTAACCCTAACCCAACCCAAAGTAAAGTCGGGTTCACGAATTTCAACTGTAACCCGAACACCAACCCGACCCGACTTTTTTGGGATTGGATTCGGACCAACCCGGCCCAAGTTGCAGCCGTAATTGCACGAAAGTGCCCATTTCCCTTCTCCTTCCTCCGAGTCTCCGACACGTGCCCATTTAAATCCCCGAAATAAAGAAAAAAAAAGTACAAAAAAAAAATCCATAATTTTTGTGGTTTTCCTGGATGATCAAATAAACCATTTAATTTTCGCTCCTCCCATGGAGCTCGCAAGCGTTCCGCTCCTTTCAACAATTAACAGTCAACTGCGTTTGTAATTTCGATAATAATAATTTATTTTCTTGTAAAATATCTTCTTGCATTTTTTGTCATCTCTGTTCATCATCGTTCTCTACGTATTAATCAATCAATTAAACTCGAGAAGACGAACTCTGCACAGACACAGAGATCAAAATATGGCGTTACTTCTCTTCACTTCAACGTCCACTTTGGCACCAGCAGCAGCAGCAGCAGTAGCATCTGTAAACCCAAGCCCCCATAACTCTCTATTGCCCAAATTCGCTGCTTCTCATTCTCCCACTAATAGCATTAATCGTTCTCCACTCAAAGCTGTTAAAATAGTTTTAGCAACCAACTTCAGCAGTAATCGAGGAAGAGCAAGAAGAAGTCCTTGTCCTCCACTCTGTGTTGCTGCTCCGCCAACATCTCCAGTCACAGAAGGCGAAGAGGAGGAGGTGGTGGAGTGGGAGGAGCAGGAAGAGAGCATGTCCTCCAAGTTCTCATGGAGGGACAACTGGTACCCTGTCTCTCTCATCGAAGACCTCGACCCTCGATTACCAACTCCGTTCCAACTCCTCAGCCGAGAGATCGTTCTCTGGAAAGACAGAGCCACCGGCGAGTGGATTGCCTTCGACGACAAATGCCCTCACCGACTCGCTCCCCTCTCTGTACCATTTCTCTTCAGCTTTACACTTTGTAGTTTGAATTTCAGGGTTTTCGATGATGGTAATTGAGGGCAGTTGTGTTTTCGAGTAGGAAGGACGGATCGATGAAGATGGTAATTTGCAGTGTTCATACCACGGATGGTCTTTTGATCGCTGTGGATCTTGTACTCGGATCCCTCAGGCTTTACCAGAGGGTCCTGAGGCGCGTGCTGTTCTGTCTCCCAGAGCGTGTTCTACCAGACTCCCCACCCTTGTTTCTCAGGGTCTGCTCTTTGTTTGGCCGGACGAGAATGGATGGGAGAGAGCTGCTGCTACCAAGCCCCCAATGTAAATTCATTGATTCTCTGATCTAGTTTTTATTTGTTCATTGGATTCGTAAGCAACATATGATTTAATTAATGTTTTCATAAGTTAATTATATATTGATATATGTAATTACTATTATTATTTTTTTCTTTTTAAATGATTATGTGATAATTATAGTTGTTAACTTGTTACGAAATGTGGTTAGGCTGCCAGATGACTTTGATGATCCTTCATTTTCGACTGTGACGATACAAAGAGACCTGTTCTATGGCTATGATACCCTTATGGAGAATGTCTCTGATCCTTCCCACATTGATTTTGCTCATCACAAGGTGAATACTTGGTTTAATTTATATTTTTTCTTTTATATTTTCTATACTTTTTTTGGTTAATGATCATTATAGTTGTATGGTTTGGATGGCAGTTTAGTAAATATATATAGCTTGATTGATGCTACTCAAATTTGTTTTTGCTTTTCAACTGACTGAATTGTTGGTTTGCGTGGCATTGTTATATTATAATATGGTTATTGTCAACAACTTTTATTCTATAGAGGGTTCAATTTCCTTAATTCTAATATACCTTCTCCATATATGTAAACAAACTTGTTATTGATTAAAAAGTCATAAGTTTGAATTTTTTTTTGATAGGTTCTTTTGTGCATATATACAAAAACACAATTATGTTTACGGTTCATCTATATCTATATATATTGTGGTTCTTTTGTAAACTATAACCGTTGTTAAATCTTATGCACTAGGCCATTATCATGGTTTTAACTAATTTATATTTTGCTCTAGGAAATGCATAGGGAGTATTTTGCTGCAGGTATATGTCAGCAATTTAATATTTTCTTATGAGGATCTAATCTTATCATGTTGGAAAAAATACCAAATTGTTGTCCCCCCTGCCCTCTTCCCTCTTTCTACTGGGAGAAAGGAATGAAGTAGCTTTCATTAATGAATATGCTTGGCAAGACCTGTTTTTCAGGTTTTCTTATTAACTGGAAGTACTCAACAGGTTACAGGGAGGAGGGACAGAGCCAAGCCTTTGACATTTAAGTTGGAGTCTAGTGGTGTTTGGGGCTTTGGTGGATCAAACGATGGGAACCCACGGATCACTGCTAAATTTGTTGCACCTTGTTATGCTATGAACAAGTGAGTTATCACTATCACTTGATTTGGCATGTTTAAATATAAGGTATTGAATTCTCTTTTGCTCCCATGGAAAACAATCATAGTGTTATATATAAGGTATGAAAACAACAGATTAGTTGCAAGTAAGAGGGGATAAATCTAATTAGAGTTTAGGAAGAGGATACCAGCTGGTTGAAAACAGGTAAAGAGAAAGTCATTGGGTCTGGGATAATAGAAGGCATGACTAGGTTCAAGAGGATAGATCTAGAAGAGGAAGTTTCTTGATGATTTAAGAGGAATATGTTAAGTGTGGTTCAGTTAAGACAGATATAGGTCCAAGATAGTAAGAAAGCAAAGAAAGGGTTGTTAAGCATTTTTAGAAAGTCTGTCCCTTCTCCTGCAGAAATGAACTGAAAAGTAGGCTGCTATGGTTCCCAGATCTATGAGATAACTAGCAAAGAAAATGTATCAGGCAATTGGATAAGGGATTGCTGTCCAATATGCATCAGACCTATGACAACATATCATACCAGAAAATTTAGAAGTAAAAAGTTTCATATTCTCAAACTAATGATTAGGGAGTGGTAGTGGGTTGGATTCAAGGGTTCAACATCCAATTAACCCCATTTCTGCAAGTCTCTAATCTCTATTGCACTTTTGATGTATCCTCATCTCTGGCATGCATCACTAAGATTTGTGTTCAAGCCAACTGATGCATCTGAACTTTCTAATGCTCCAAGTAACAAAAACTTGAAGTTTAGGAAACAAATCAAGACTATACACCAAATATGGTTAGCTGATAAAAGGAAAGAAACTTGTGGATAGGTCCAATCTAGAGAGTTTGTTAAGTTCCGTATATGCTAATTTTCATGTATTCTTGATGATGAGTCCAGCCATCATCTATTAACTTATGGACAAATCCATCCATTGGCATTTTAAATGCTTTGGCATCTACATTTTCAAAGGAGCATGTACTAGTTGGTTTTAATAGCTTGTGAGGTTCTATAGTGGTTTCTCATGTTCTTGGGAATTCTTTATATGCGACTATATGATACATATCATGTGATATTGTAAAACATGTGATGGATATCACCCTGGATCACTGTACAAATTATGACGATACAGTTCTTTTGCAAAAATTTATATCTTTATACTTTTATTAATTGAAGTTGAAATTTAGAATTTGTCTATATAATTTTTCCCTCAGGATAGAGATAGACACAAAACTCCCAATATTTGGTGATCAGAAATGGAAAATATGGATATGCTCATTCAATATACCGATGGCACCTGGGAAGACTCGTTCAATTGTTTGTAGTGCCCGAAACTTCTTCCAGTTCACAATGCCAGGGCCAGCCTGGTGGCAGGTAAGGCTTGGATCCTGTTACTCTAATTTGTGTCATCATATTTATCTAGCTTCCATTTTGCATGGATTATGAATGGGGGTGGTCATTTCTGCCCTGGCGTGGTGCAGCCCACAAATTTCCAGGCTTTGGGCCCAGGTTTTGTGTCCAGGCCTGTCCTGGGCCTAAAAATTTAGGTCCAGTCCATAATTTGTATCTATATTATACGTTATTATATATTCATATACACATTTATGTGCATTGCATAAGTATTATGATATGATACATAACATATAATATAATATCTTATAATTTATTAAGTATAATATATTATAATTATATATTATGTGTAATATAAAACATTATATATAATGTTTAGAAATTTTTTAAGGTTGTTGGTTGGAAGCCCATCCCAAGCTATGCCCCTTAATATAACTGCTAACCCAGCTCAACCCGACCTATTGAGAAGGAATTTTACTTTGGAGATGTTATTCAAGGCCACTGCATTCTCTGTGCTTGCTGTAGAAACATTGAGTTTCTAACATTAAAGGTTGTGCAATATTAGTTCATTCTTGGAGGGCTGTCCAGATGGTTTTGATAAAGAAGGCATAAAGGGATCATGCATTGCTTCTTCTGTTCCTATTAGCATATACCATTTTCCATTTTTGCCAGCCATCTGCTCCCCCATTCCTACCACTAGAACAGTTTCTGCTTGTAACTTGTCTTATAAAGCCAGCTGAAAAATCAAGTACATTGCAGGTGGTCCCTAGATGGTATGAGCACTGGACATCAAACAAGGTATATGATGGTGATATGATCGTACTTCAGGGACAAGAGAAGATTTTTCTCTCAAAATCCATAGAGGATTCTTTGGATGTCAATAAGCAATATGGAAAACTTACATTCACACCCACACAAGCAGATCGTTTTGTTTTGGCATTTCGGAATTGGTTGAGGAAACATGGCAATAGTGAACCTGAGTGGTTTGGCCCCAGCAACCAACAACCCTTACCATCCACCATCTTATCCAAACGTCAGGTGCAGGAACTTTACATAAATTTGTTTAGACAATTTTTGTTTGTTTTTTTAATGGAACTTCTGATATTTTAAGGTCTTGCAGATGTTGGATAGGTTTGAGCAACACACTCTTAAGTGCTCATCATGTAAAGGTGCATATGCTGCACTCCAGATATTACAGAAACTGCTGATTGGTGTCTCTGTCATTTGCTGTGCTACAGCAGGAATCCCTTCAGAGATGCAGTTACGTATTGTTTTAGGCGGGCTTGCAATTCTGAGTGCTGGTTTAGCTTATGCTCTGTTTGAGCTCCAGAAAAATTTCGTATTTGTTGATTATGTTCATGCAGACATTGATTAACTTCTGAAACATCCAACAAAAGATTATAAAAAACAAGGAAAAGAAGACCTCAGAAGGCATCAACACCCGCTGTACTCAATACTTGAATACTTGACATGTATTTGTAGTTTTCCTTCAGGCCAGAACTAGGGTTTGTATACAGGAAATTGGATAGAGCTTTATTGATTTTCTTGTATTTGGATGGGTTTATTATTATTATTTTTAGGGGTAACAAAAGAATAAAGAGAACAGGGTTAGGCTTGTGTTTTGTTTTATTTTTTGTTTCAATGATTCTTTTACAATGGAATAGTATTTTTTAAGAGCAATACTGAGGAGGCAAAGCATCATCTCTCTATTTTGGATAAGATTATCCATGCAGAGTTTTTATTTTTTTTAGATTTAAAAGAATGATTTGTTTCAGTGACAAATACCTCCCTATACTTTCATTTGCCACAAAGAGCCCTTGAACTTTTATGTTTCTACGAAAACCCCTGATTGTTAAGTCATGGAAGGCGCTAAATTACCAAAATGCCCTCTTTGCAATTCAAGAGGTGTGAAATGAAATTTTTAAAATGACAAAAAAAAGGGTAAAGCCATTTTCCTTTTTGTCTATTCCTTTCTCATTTTCTGATTTTCTCTTAAACACTAGCCTAAACAAATCTACTGTCAGAAAACCATTTGATGAGAATCTTCTGTGATGGTATGCTGTTGTTGGATACAGAAAAATCTTCTGTGATGTCCACAAAATCATTTGCATCTTTCACACCATTGCTGGAGAAGGTATTTTTATCACCATCGTCGAAGAACAAAAACCTATGTACATGTATGCTATACCCGCTATTTTAACCATATAACTGATATTTTTAGGAATTGTTGCGCTATCAAAGTGTGAGTGAAAGGGTAAAATTGTTTGAGTAAATAATAAAAGGGTAGTGTTGGGATTCAAAAATTTTAAACAACCAAATGAAAATTGTGTTTTGAAAGTTAATGACAAAATGTTAATGGAGGGGTCTTTGTCACAATGTAAAAGTTGGGGGGGGGGGGGTCTGTTATAATTTACCCTTTAACTAAAGGTTCTTGTACCAAAAAGAAAGAAAAAGAGAAAAATAAAAGAGTGGAGCACATCCCCACCATATACACGGCGGGGATGTACTGTGGAAACTGTGGGACACCCCCTTGTGGGGCGCAGATGTGAACTCGAGGGTCGAACAAAGAAATGGGCGTTTGATTCCTTATAAGTAAAGACTGCAAGTGCAAACACTTTAAAAGCATGAGAGTCTAGTTGCACATTGAGAGTCTAGTTACACATTGGGAGATACTCCCACGTGTGGCTAGATGCCACACGAGCGGATTTTCTGCTTTCTGGAGATCTGGGCTAGCAAGAGGGCTTACTGTTAGAAGGGCAAAATAAGGTTTTTAAAATATTAAATGAATCACGTTATGTTACATACAAACAACATATAATGTTTCACTAATGAGGGTATGTTTAGACGGTGTTTGGCATCGATGCCGTTTTTTGAGAAAATGGTGCTACATTGGTGCCACATCAGAAAAAGTGGTGTTTCAGAAAATGGCCTCTTATTTGGCATACAAAAAAATATATTGCTTCAGACCACGCCTTAGAGATCGGGAAAATGTGATCTGAAGAAACACGAAAACCAATGTGGCATCATCTTGGGCGTTGGATAATGTAGACCAATGCTGAAAACGGTTATACAGCACTGGTACCAAACAAAGCCAGTGCTGTTTTCCCAGAAAACAGCCTGTGGCAGCATCAATGCCAAAAAAAAAAAAAAAAAAAAATTTTATGAGAAAAAGGTGCAACAAACCTTCGTGCATACAACACCATTTTCTTAGAAAACATCTCTGAAGCAATGGCATT